CTACCAAATCTTCAGAGACAGACAAAAGCATCTTAATGCTCTATAAATTTTTCACTAGCACTGCAAATAAAGGGAAACTTCCTGCTTGTTATTATGAAACACTCATAACATTCCAATAAGTGGTGCAACACTATTAAAGGGATTTCTGCCTGTTCAAGAGAAACACCCTTTTACAAATCACTCCTCACACAAGGCTATGACGTTCTTATAATAGAGACCTGTGTGTGTGTGTGTGTGTGTGTGTGTGTGTGTGTGTGTGTGTGTGTGTGTAATACTATTTTTGGAAGTGGCTAAGGATTTTAGTTTCTGTTACATATATTTGTAACATCATCTTGCTGGAATTTCTTTCCCTCCCTTTGAAAAAACATGCAAATATTTTGGGAATCCACATAGCGTCTTGGGGCTGAGGAAGATTTCCAGATCTTGGTGTTTAGCACCTCTTTTATACAGCCACAGAAAACCAAATTTAACCAAGTACAAAAGTGTGATGGCAGATACCCTTGCAGCTGAGCCTCAGGTGACACTGCAGACTGGACTAGTGCCTTGATTACTTCATTGAACCCTAACCCTAATCCTAACCCTAACCCTAACCCAAATTTTTAATGTAAACCAAAAGTGTTGATTTTTTTCCAGTTTTTATGATCATAAATTCAAGTCAGTGAATTTTACAGTCTCAAGTAAATGATGATAATCATTTCTGAGGTGGCTTTTCTCTTTAAAATATTTTTAAAATAACCATTATAAAAGAGGATATCTTTACAGCATTCATTCATTCATATTGCGATATCATGATACAGAGATTGTCAAGTTATTATTTTCCTTTATTGTTCAACATGTGTCATATGATTCTTGAACTAATTTATAGATTATGTTGCATTTAACTGTGGTTTATTTGGCGGGACAAATGCTATTATATCATTTCCTCATAACTAGAGTGGAAAGTGAGATTTACAAAATCTATGTTACTCTTCCAAGAAAAACAACCTTGGACCTGGTAAAGAAGCTGACACAGAAATAGTAAAAGAAAATATACCTGGGTAACCAAGCAATCATGCAACCTTTACTGTTTTTTCCATGCCATAAACATCTGGAGACTAAACACCGTATCCAAGGTGTGCAAAACAGCCCCTTCATCACTGAGGTATTGTCCTGATTCCACTCATTACCTTGCATTGAAACAGACCAAAAACTGTTGCTAGGAAATTTTGAATATCAAACGACTAAAATAAAAACTAGTTCTTTGAAAATATTAACAAATTTTATTAGGTTAAGAGGAAAACAAGTTTTAGCATGAAAGTTAGCAAGGCAGTTGCTTTCACTGCATCATCCTGATGGGAGCAGAAGTGACAGGTAAACTTTCATCTTAACTCAATTCAAGAAGAAAATTCAAGGAATTTCTTGGATCCACATAGGTTACAGCAGCTCACAGGAGACACCTATTGCAGAATCACCACCACATAAGGGCGCAGGCATGTGAGGTTCAGAACTGGCTAATCTTGATGTCAGAGGTGCAAAAGGTGAGAATCTTCCTCAATAGTAGTAGCCAAAGCCAGAGCCATAGCCAGAGCCACATCCATAGCCACAGCCACACAGGGAGCGGGAGCCATAGCCACAGCCCAGGGTGCGGAAGCCAGAGCCATAGCAGGAGCCATAGCCACAGCCCAGGCCTCCATAGCCATAGCCCCGGCCTCCATAGCCACAGCATCCATAGCCGCGGCCGCCATAGTAGCTTCCGTAGTAGCTGCCACACATGGTGTTGGGTGCTAAGGTTGTGCTTTGATAGAAGAGGAATGCAGGTGACTTGAGTCTGGACAATTCTCCCTGCCGTGGGCCTTTTATATGTCCCACATGTGGGTGGGATCCACAACATGTGCTCATGTTATTTGCTAATTTTATGACTAACGTAAATGTATTGTTTACAAGACTAGAGGGCAACAGCTTACGCCATCTATTAAAGAGGCATCTTGCCTGGACCAGCTATGGTATACTTTAGCAAGATTGTACAGTCACACATGTAAAGCCAACCTTCCTATTAGATCAGACTAAAATTCTAAAATTAAGTGTCATGTAAACAAGGAGCATTGTAAATGTTTTCAATTGCAATGCTCTTAAGCACAATATTTTTCTCTTTGACCCTCCACAATTATGGTCTTTCCTTAGAAATATTTTTAATACTTCTTCCAAATATGTGATATGTCAGTGTGGCTTGAGCCTTCTATTTATCAGAGATAAGACCATGGGATACTTGATGATTTCATGTACCTTGATAAAATGTTTAAATACAGAAACAAGATTTTGATACAATTAGATCAATAAAACAGTTTTTATTATTCAAAATATTGTTTTACCAATGTCTTTGTGGGCATTTTGATAAATAAATCACCTAAATATTGTCCTGAACTGTCTCTGGTTTTCTTTTGCAGAAATATTATTAATAGAGAATGAGCAGATATTAAAGAGAATAACATTGCTATGAACTTTTTTTTTTTTTTTTTTTTTTTTTTTTGGTACCTGGAATCAAACTCCAGACCTCACATTTGCCAGGCAGCTCTAATTCCACTGAGCTATATCCCCAGCCTCTGTGAACTTTTACTCTGACAATTTAGCAGGTCTATTATCCATCCATATGTCCATTTACCAAATGTCAATCAAACATAGTTTTAATGAAATATCGTGAAAATGCTGCAAAAGCTATATTTTCCTTCATAATTTGCAACTGATAAGCATTATTTTAAAAAGATAATCCATTTTGTGCTTCTCATACACAGTCTAAGTAAATATTGAAATCTAAATGACTGTGAAAAGTATTATTTAGGCTGCATGAAGATTTTCTGAATGTCAAAAATAATAGGGCTCAGACATGGAAAGCACAAAATGGTTTCGGAAAACTGTTCAGAGATTAGGGATGTGAGGAAAATCAGAAAACATCAAAAAAGCTGGCAGAAGTTTTTGCTGGTTTAATGTAAGATGTAGCTACATGTAAATGATTGCAATAGGGATTAGAGCATTTTGATTAAAGTTATAAGCTATATGTTCCTACCAGTGTAAAGAACTAAATGAATGCATGTATAAATATAAGGAAATAGAATTATTTTATAGTAATATTGAAGTATATAATTGTAGTAGGAATTGTGGAGAAAAAAATCATCAATGCATTTTAAAGTAACAGAAAAAGATGTGGCAAGCACCAAAATACTTAACTACTCTTGGTCTTTCCAAAAGTCAAGAAAACACTGATTTCACAATAGACCTGAGGAAACATGAAATGATCAAGGTTGATGTTATCAGTACTGTCACAAACTAGTATCAAAAGTTTGATGATGCATTAACAGGAATGTAATTCCACTTCAGTGATATTCCATATGTGTATAATCCAGATCTACTCATGGGAGAGCTACAGACAAACATAAGTTTTGGGATATGCTAACAACACAACGGGTATGCATTTTCAAAACTATTCAAGCCATAACATTTAAAGAAAGGCAGAGAAATTATACAGATTGCTTTTCAATCTTTGTTTCTGCAACTAACAGCACAAATCAGCTGTTTATCACTTGCTTTCTTGTCTTTTCAAAGCTATACTCTCATTTTATGGAGATGTTCATAGCATATTTGTTTTGTTTGCCTCGAATCTTACAAGCTGCTTCTCTTCATTAAGTTTTATTTGACTGGTTGGAATTTGACCTCAAAATACTAGAGTGCCTGTGACTTGGTGTTGACAGCCTTGTGATCTCTGTCCAAGCTCTTTTTTAGAGATTGTGTTTAGTACCAGAATTCTATCGCATGCTGTAAGTATATTATCTTCTCAAATCAACCCCATATTTATCTTTGACACTGACTTTTTGTTGTATCAAACATGTATTCTACATGTTTAGTACCTTTCATGTTTACTATCTGACATCAAAAACCTGGAGCATGCTATCTCCTTTCATGTCCTACCCCTTTCCCCAGATTAATTATAATGCTAAAACCACTTGGCTTTTTAGGCCTTCAATATAACAAATTGTTGCTAACAATAAATTCCTTCTTTATTTTTACTATTTTCTTTTTATTTAAATAATGCCAAGTGATGCTTGCTTTTACCTTCTAATAGAATTAAGATTTTAAATCACCTAGATATAGCTTTATGACCATTTATCTTAGTCTTTTCCAAGTAATTTTTTAACTATTAAGGTCACTCACTGAGTTTTATTGTACTGAGAACAATCTTCACTATTATAATTTATCTAATTTATTTTAAAAATCTGTCTTCCTCTATTTTGTCTCAACTCTAAACTCCAGAAAAAAACTTCATCTTTTCCTCCAGTAATAAATGTGAAGAAGGACTCTAAGCTGTTTTTGTCTTTCTTTCCATGCTCATCTCAGTTTGCTACAAGGGAAAGTATTAGTGCAAGACTTTACAAATATAAAATGAATATAATTATTACACATGCATAGTATCTACAAAGTGAAGATGGTTTCAAAGGTAGTGTTTCAACTCTCTAACATTATAAAATAAGTATACATCAGGAAGGGGGATTTTAATTGCTGTAGAATAAACAAAAGAGCAAATTAAAAAAATCAAATAGGTAGGGTTATGTTACAAATAAATCCAGACTTCACTAGGTCTTCATGATTGCGTGGCAGACCGCTCTGCAATTCTAAACTTGTTATTTATGGAGGAAAAGGAAGATTCAAAAAGAAAAAAGAATATCTCAACAGGCAGGGTTCACACATGGACTTTGTGATCATACAGTCCTCGTCATCAGTCTGAAGATTGGAATATTAAGGAAGCAAAGACCACATAACCAAGAGACGCCCCTCTCTAGAAAACTCATGACTTTCTGCTGACACCTAGTGGCAGCTTTGTCTTGGACACGTGGTTGAGAGATTTTTGAAGTTTTGTTTATTTTTAGTTTGGAGAACAAATCCAAAATAGACTGTGGTTTGTGTCACATACCACTTAGGAGGTATAAAAGGACCTGAGCAGATTAAGAGACTCAGACTGCAGAAGCAACTCCTCTGCCTCAACTAAACCTTCCACTTCTGACACCATGTGCTACTTTGGCAACTTCTATCGTGGCCTGGGCTATGGCTATGGTGGCCTTGGCTATGGCTACGGTGGCCTGGGCTATGGCTACGGTGGCCTGGGCTGTGGCTGTGGTGGCTATGGTTACACCTGCTATCGCCCGTGCTGCTATGGAAGATACTTGTCTGGCTACTACTAAGGAATTCTGATTGCTTCTCGTTTTGCTTCATTTGCTGATACAGCACTGGAAATATCAACAGTTATCTCTCCAAATTTCTCCAGATTTAATCATTGATTATAATGAATCATACCTATATTGATTGATGGAAATTACAACACTTAAGGGAATTATCCTTTGATATTTTGTTAGTATCACATTGGTTGGCATGTAATAATCACATGTAAGGGAGCTTATAATTTTTTGGCTTTTCAATAAATCTAATCACTTTTATTATGTACTGGTTATGATACGTGCTTATTTTTCATCATCACACATGTGTGTTTGTGTGGATGTGGATTTACATGGGAAGATCATTACTCTGGTATCTATTTTAGTAATGCTATAAAAATACATAGTATGATTAACGATTGTTTCCAATTAGTATCTTAAAAGTACTCTGATATGCTATTCCATCTCTCTATATTGAACTAAATATTATATTAGAAAAATTCAGTGTTTCAGGCAGGCAACATAAAAAAGCAGTAGTACTGTGGCTTGTCACATGCACTCTTTGTCCTGCAATTTTCTGTCCTAATACAGTATAATTTCCCCCCTCATCATGGTGTCTGACTTCTTTTACACTCATAGACAAAAATTTTTTTCATGAGTTGACTGATACACTTGCTAGATTTGTATGCCCATGGCAAAGACTGCCTCAGTGTGTCTTCTGAGTTTGTGTGACATTGTTTGGGTTTGGGAAAATCTTCATTACCGTTTCTAAAAGGCAGTGTCTTTGGTAGAATGAACTTAAAATATGTGGCTGGTCTCAGAGTACATATCTGCTCCAAAATCATACAAATACTATTGTCTTTATCTTGTACACAGTTCATATTAAGTGAAACTCCCTGTAGTTCCTTCTTGTATTTGTTCCATCCACTCATTAATATTGTTAATGGTCAGAAGTATTAAGACCAATCATAGGGGGCGGTGAATTTAGCTCAGTGGCATAAGTGCCTGCCTTGCAAGCCTGTGGTCATGAGTTCAAACCCTGGTACCTGTAAAAATACAAAAAAAAAAAAAAAAAAGATGAATCCTAATCAGTTATAGAGAAATTATAGTTTGATATTTTTTATTCTCCCCTTGAATATAAAGAAATGTCAATGGTGAAATATCCACATAGAGATTACACACTGTGTATTAAGACTTGCCACTGATTACTCTTTTTAAAATTTATTTTTATTAGTATATGACATTTCATTACATAGTGATTACATTCAACACACAGAGCAGGCACATAACACATTTTATTTCTGTTATGTTCTCTTCCCTCATTTCCTTTCTAATTCCTCTCCCCTTTCGAAAAACATCTAGCTCTCTGTTTTCTATTGTTTATCTTCTATTTTTTTCTTTATTTATAACTTGGGTGTCTCATCTAAGAGAAACTGTGTACTACTTATCCTCATGTGTCTGATTTATTTCATTCAACATTACGGTATTAAAGTGCATCCAATACCCTACAAATGGGTAAAATCAACTTTTCTTTACAACAGAATGTTCCATTTTGTATGAGTACCATATTATCTGTCTGTTTTACATGTGAGTTGCTTCTAAGACTTAGCTGTTTTGAATTGTGATTCTATACACATGAAAATATATGGATCATTCTAATATGATGTCTTTCAATCTTTCAGGAAGACATTTAGAAGGGGGATAGTGAGATTGAATGGAAAGTCCATACTGAGATAGTGACTGAACTAATTTACATTCCTACCAACAAGGTAGGATTCTTTTTTCCTTGAAGCCTCACTAGTATTTGCTATTTAATTTCTTGATGATAGTCATTGTTTCTGGAGTAAGATGTAATCTTATGGCTCTTTACATTTTTATTTCCTAAATGGCCGTAAATGTTGAACATATTTCATTATATTATTGAACATTCGTACTTCTGGGAAGTGATTAGTTATCACATGTTCCTATTTTTAACTGGGTCTTTCATTTGAGGGCTGTTATGGTTTGTGTTTGCATGGACCCCCTCCCCCAGCATTACGCACTAGAGGAGGCAGCCAAGTCTATCCTTTGTGATTGGTTCGTTGACTAGTGTTAGGATTGGTGGTGCCAGTGCTGCACCCACCCAGGGGCAGGGAGCTGGCACTCAATGTAAGGGAGGAAAGGATGAGTGCCTTCCCCTAGTGCCCTTTTCACTCTTGTTGCTTGTGGCTGGCATGAATGGCTGCCCTTCAGCCACACCACCCTGCCTTGGAGCCAGTTGAGTATGGACTTAAACCTCCAAAAATAATATACAAATAAATCTTTCCCTCCCTAATTTTGGGCATCAGGTATTTTGTTTCAACAATGAGAGAAAAGTAACCAAGACAAGGGTCTATTTTTTGGTTCCTTATATTTCCTACATACTAGGTTTCTATTCAAGACATAGTTGACAAAATTACTTTCCCATTCTGCAGGCTGTCTCTTCAATCTCTAGTTATTTCATTTGCTGTGCAGAATATTTTTAATTTGATATAACCTCATTTGTTTATTAGTGATACTATTTCTTGTGCAATTGAGGTCCTGTTTGGAAAGCTTTAGTCCTTATCCTAGGTATAAGGATTCAAGAGTTTTACCAATTTTATCTTCCTGTACATTGTGTCCCTGTTTTAATATTTAGACCATTAAACCATTTTTATTTCAGTTTAGTAGTTAGTGAGAGATAAGGTTCTATTTCAAATCATTTGCATGTAGATAGCCAATTTTCCAGCATATAGTTTTGGCCCCTTTGTCAAAGATCATGTGGTTAAAAATGTCTGTGGTTGTATCTGTGTCTTCTATTCTGTTCCACTGATCCATGTCGTTACTTATGCCAGAATCAGTGGCATAGAAAACAAAATGTGATGTTTTTATCACTGTGGTTTTGTAATATAACTTGAAATTCTGCATTTTGATGCCTTCTGCTTTGCTTTTGTTATGTAGGATAGCTTTTTGCTATTCTGGCATCTCTTCTGCTTCCATGAAAATTTTAGCATTGTTTTTTCCTGTCTGAGAGGAATGCTGTTGTGATAGCTTTCTTTTTTCTGATGTCTTCTTTGATCTCTTTTTCCAGTCTGGCTTTGCTTAGTTGGTAGGTTTTGTTTTTATTACAGACTCAATTTCACTGCCTGGCATTAGAAAATCCCTGGTTTTGATATTTTCTTGGTTCAGTTTACATAATTTTTATTTATTTAGGAATCTATTACTTTCTTTTGCATTTATTAGAGTACAAGTTTTCAGAATAGTCACTAATAATTTACAATTCAATGTTCTTTTTGTTTTCACATTTTTTATTTCTAATTGAATTGATAATGGATTTTTCATATCCTTTTTGTAAAATGGACTAAAGATTTGTCTATTTTTATTTTGATGTTATTTTTTGTTTTGAAAAACTCTCTTCAAGTGATTGAGTCTTTGTGTATTTCACTCCCAGTTTCATTAATTTATGCTCTAATATTTCCTTGATTGTACTAGTTTTGGATTTGAGTTACTTTGTCTTTTATGAACCTTAGTTTGCATTATTCAATTACTTATTTGGACATACTATGTTTCCCCTATGGAATTGTCTTTTTACTTCCTTTTTTACTTAAAATTTATAGCCAATATCTGAGCTTTGATCTATTTTACACCAACATAATAAGATCATAATATTGTTCTTGAGTTGCTTCTCCCTTAAATATGGGCTTGTGTGAATTAGAGGCAGAATGCTAAGTTTTAAATTGCAATATTTCCTTCTGCAGGATTTGTGATCCTGAATTATATTGTAAGTTTTCTGAAAAAGTTTCAATATTTAAGATAATTCTTCCAACGTATTGTGGTAGGAGAACAAATACACTACAACGTGCTCTGACATGGCTGAATATAAATATTTCTCTTTTATGCAATTCTGAAAAAGAATCACAGATTTTGATTAGGTTTTATTGAGAAATACAAATTTTAAGAGAAAAAGGAAGTTGAATAATGCAAATAATTATGATCTATGCAAAGAAAATATGTAATACTTGACATTTAGAGACATGATGTGAAAGATTGAGTCTCTAAATGCTTAAAAGGTGTCATTTTTAGAATAAAAGTGTTAAAGTAAAAAAAGAACAGAATTATTTTCTTTTCTCTGAAATAAAAATTTGTATCAATATTCTCCATGAAGACTGACTTTCCTAACACTTTGAGAGCTGAAGCAGGATTTATCCTCCATTGGTTGACATAACCACACTGCACAGCAAGTTCTCTGTACACTGTCCACATGTTCTAAAGAAGAGCGATTTACCAACCCTCATCATGACCTTCTCCTAGAGCAGATGTTGCTGGCTTTTGTTGACATCCAATATCAATGCCCTTCATTTGGTATTCTAAGAAACATTTAAGGGATTCTCTAATACAACCAAAAGTTAATCTGCAGGTGTTACACTGTCTTCTTCCTAAGTTTTCTGTCTTCTCTAGAAGAACATATCCATTTTGGAGCAGCATGCTAATTAACAGCACAAAACTGTCCCAGATGTTTGATTGTTTAAATGAAACAGGAAACCGTGGTTCAACAGGATATTTGGTGTCTGTCTTCTAAGGAATATCCATTCTGGTTTGAAACATGATCATGCTCCAAAATACATACAGACTTTTTGTTTTCAAAATCACAAGATTGTAAAACATATTAGGGCTTTAGAAAAAATCTAAAGTAGAACATAAGGCCTTTGCATATTTCCATTGTCTTATGAAAATAATCAGTGCTGACAGTTGGATGCCTGAAGCCCCTATAGTTTTCTGGGTTTTAGTTTAACTGACTTTGAAATTCTTTCCTACATCTATATGCGTTTTAGAATGGGTTTTATCCTTGTAATTATTTAGGTAATACTTTCTCATGGTGTAAACATTTTCTAATTGATCACATGACAGTGAGAAAGAATTGCCTATATCATCAGTTATAATAAAATTGAACAAAACAGTAAAGAACGAAACCAACAAAACCAAAACATTGGAGACATTACAGGACTTCAAAAGAAGATAATAGTCAAACCAGAATGGGGGTCATAATGAATCCCACTATCTTCACAGCTGTTGCCTAAACTTTCGAACCTGATACTATCCAGCAAAACAGAATAGAGGAACATCAGTCAAAACAAGATGGTGAGAGCAATACAGGGCTTCAAATCAAGTTAATAGAAAATCAAAGTGGGTTACTATAATATATCCTGCTATTTTTTAAATTATTTTCCCTTAATTAAA